ACCCACAGTCTTGGTCACTCCCACCAAATGACCTTCATTTTCCTGATGGCTTTAGGTAAGATAGGGGGAAATGCTGAGTGCATTATATGGCTCTGCCGTGAGTGATTGCTAGCAGTTGATTTTGATTGCCAGGCTACTCAGTATGTACTGACAGGGTGGAGGATCTCACTAGCAGTAAGAGAGATGAAATGGGTAGAGTGCTTCCTTTGGGCTCTGAGGTCCCTAACAGTGAACCTCCTTGATCCAGACAATAGCTTTGACAGCCGAGGCATGAAACATCAGATCCAGAAGCTAGAGCATGATTTTCCGACCAACAGAGCTAGGAAAGCTGAGTGCTTTGGGGCAGGACGTTAACTTGAGGGATGGGATGCTTCTGGGCATAGGGGAACTGGACTTGCTGACCTGAAGCAAAATGCCTTTAGGTTCAGGCTTATAATACACTGGCATGCCCTTGGGACTTTTATTAGCAGTCCTAAAAGAATTTTGTAACATTGCCTGAGCAGGGCAGATGCCAGGCCAAGAGACAGGATCAGAGAGAGGCCTGCCTATAAACACAGCAGGGAAGAACCTGTCCTGATTGAACAACTGTGTCTTGGCCATTTCTCACCTGAATAGCAACCGGTTTATTTCCCTAAAATTCCATAATCATGAGCATTGTCACTGAGTTCGGCAATGAATTACAGAACCCAGCCACAGAAATACTAGGGTAAAAGAGATGGATGGAAGCCTATCTGACCTCTGCCTTGTGATAATCAGTTTGGGAGTCAGAAGAGGTCAGCTGTTGCCTCCATGGTGTTTTTTGCAATAATGATACTTTGCTTCTAAAAGTATGGGCAGCGCAGTAGGTTAAGCACTGGTCTAACTGCAAGGTTGGTGGTTCAAACTCAGCAGCTACTCTGATGGAGAAATGAGGCTGTCTGCTCCCATAAAAACTTTACAGTCTTGGAAAACCTATGGAGAAATTCTATGCTAGCCAACAGGATCACTATGATTTGGAATCAACCGAATGGCAGTAGGTTTGGGTGTTGTTTATGCACTGACTACTAAAGCAAGCTTTTCTTATAAGTGGAATAAAACTAAATTTGGAGAATGTATGGCATCATAGAATGAACAGTCTCATGGAATAGACAAAGCACATGGGAAATAATCAGAAAATAAAACCGGTCATATGGACACAGCTGTGTGGTACAGAAGGTTTCATGGCTGCAGAGTGCATGAACCTGAAAGGCACATATTGGTCCAAGCTGACTGTTAGTCGTTTAAGCTTATGACCAGTTCTAAGATAGAGCGGAACTGCCTCGGCGGGTCCCGAGACTAAATCTTTATGAAAGTAAAAAGCCTAATCTCTCTCCCTTGGTGCGGCTGGTGGTTTCTAAACTGCTGACCTTGCAGTTAGCAGCCCAAGTCTGCTACACCACCAGGGCTCCAGAGGGTTGGTATGAATTGGAATGACGTGATGGCAGTGATGTCTGCTTAGTTGTTTACACTTTTGATAGCCAGCATTATTACATTGATTGTGTGGTGGGGAAGAAGAGAGATGGAGCAGACAGGGCGAGTTTAATCCATTGGGAGTACTCTGATGAAAAGGGTGCCACGAGCGTGGGGATCTGAGAACTGTGGAGGCGAAGCTACACAAGAAGGAGCTGTTTTCCAAGAACAAGCCAGACTCCAGAGGTGAACAGAGTGGAATACTGGGGTCGGGGACCAGCCACAGATGGTAAAGCTGGTTGTCACGTTAATACAGGGGGGAAATGTAGACAGTAAAACAATCTAGACTAAACCAAGCTGCTAAACTAAAACAACACAAGAAACTTAATTTGACTCCATAAAATAAAACTTTGAGGAAGCGTGCATCCTCTTTTGTTAATGGGGAACAGTGGCATAATTAGAAATAACAAATCAAAATTTCACTCCTAAACATTAAAGATGGAAACATCAGAGTTTTTTTGTTTTTGAGTTTTTTAAAATATTAATGATGGATTTGGCAGATTCTAAAGGCCACACAGCTTCAGTGTATGACCCAGATTCCCAAACTAAAATAACATCAAGAACGTTCTTTTAAAATACAGGAACCTTTCATAACATCCCAAGAATCCCACCAGGCAAATGCCATGACTGCTGGCCGAGCGGGTTCCGCCCGCTAGACTTGTGGTTAAAGCAGAGGGGCACACGGCAGGCCCGGCAGGCAGGGACCTGTGTCAGGTCAAGAGCAAGTCTGTCACGTTCTGCATGTGTCTCTCTTGGAGTTGGTGTGGGTGAAAAAAAATCTGTTAAGAGTTTATCCAGTTTAAACAGTGAGAATATTCTTCAGTTTTATTCTGAAGAAAAGAAATCTTATTAAGGTTCCTAAATTAAATTTCAGATTAAAGCAAATATTCAATTAAATTACATACATTGAAGAATCAAAGGCTAAGTGTGAGTGAATTCCACAAGCTTCAACACAAGAATTTTGATATGATGCCTTTGAAGGGTCTATTGAGCTATACCACCACTTGTCTGTCAGTTTGTCCTATTGTGGTGGCTTGTGTGTTGCTGTGATGCTGGAAGCTATGTTACTGGTATTTCAAATGCCAGCAGGGTCACCCAAAGTAATGATAGGATCACCTATGAGCAGAGCATTGAATGAAGCAGGAAGCATCAAGAGAAGATGGAAAGAATACATATACAGAGTGGAATACCCACTGAAATATTTCAGAAAGCTGAAGAAGCCCTGGAAGCACTCATCTATCCCAGGAAATTTGGAAGACAGCTACTTGGCAAACTGACAGGGGAGATCCATATCTGTGCCCGTTTCAACAAAAAGGTGATCCAACAGACGGCTCAAACTATAGAGCAATGTCATTGATTTACACAAGTAAAACTTGGTTTAAGATCAACAACGGTTGCAGCAGATATCAGGATTGGAGGAAGGTTGTTAACCTTCTGTGTGTGTGGTGACACAACCGTGCTTCCTGAAAGGGAGGAGGGAAGGAAGCACTTGCTCATGAAGATCAAGGGCTGTGACCTTCAGTCTGGATGACAACTCAGTGTAAGGCAGACCACAATCCTCACAGCTGGACCAATCTGTGGCATCACGACAAACGAGGAAAAGGCAGAAGTTTTCAAGGATTTTGTCTTACTTGGATCCACAATCAATGCCCATGGAAGCAGCAGTCAAGAGATCAAAAGCTGTGTTGCATTTGGTAAATTTGATGCACAAGACCTTGTTAGCATATTGAAGAATGAGGATGCTACTTTGAGGATTAGGGTGTACCTGACCCAAAGCACCGTATTCTCCATTGAGTCACATGCATGTGAAAGTTGGACATTGAATAAGGAAGACTGTAGAAGCATTGATTGCATCTGAACTGTGGTGCTGGAGAAGAATATTGAAAGTACCACGAACTGGACAAATTATTATGGTTAAATAAGGAATATAAGTGCATAATTAACATAAACCAGTAAAGTTTAGATAAAAATATAACAAGAATATATCTGAGCTGAAGTATTTTCTCACAGTTGGAGATTTTTTTAGGAAACAAATACACCAAGGCTTAAATATAGATTAGTATTTTGAAAAAGCATCCGTTGTATACTTTATAAGCATAAAGGACGTGTGTATGTATGTATATATATGTGTGTGTGTGTGTATACGTGTTATTTCTAAAAATTGTCTCAACATGCACCTTTAGGTGAGCTGCATGGAGCCCTATTCTGCATCTGCTCTTCGGCATGATCCTATGTCTGTTGTAGAAGGTACGTGCATGTTCGTCCTAGAATCCCTAGCTGTTGGCTATGTTTCCCTTTTAAACTTAACAGAAAAAAAAATCACCCTGAAGGTTTCCTGCATGGGAAGTGGATGTGTGACTGCCATTAAGCACTGAAGGACACGAAGAAATGCTGCTCAGGAAAGGAGAATTACGCTTACCTCTTTCCTCATCCTCTCCGTAAGCCTTTGGGGAATAAGAAGCCCATATGGAGCTATTTATAGCAGCAAAAATATAACTACCTGCTCTGTCAATCACAAATGATAGCATGTCTCAAAAGAGAGTGGGGGAGCCAGAATGAAGGCACAGTTGGGACATAGTCATCCTTACCATAGTATGTAAGATACTCTGCTGTGTGTAAGAATGTCAGCGAAACCAGAACGTTGAAAATCCAATTTATTCCAGAGGAACAAGCATTTCCTGTGCTTCTGGCCCAAAGGGGATATATTTCAGAATTCACCGTCCAAGGCATTGGTCCCATTCCTGAGAAATACAGAGTTAAAAATTTCAGTAAAATGCCATTTCAGAAAAATGTCTTTTTCCAAAAGAAATGCCACAATAACAAACAACAAAATGTTTTGTTTTGTATTTTTACCAGGTGCGAAGAAAACCAGATATAAAATAAGGCCCAGAAGTGCAGTCCACGAGTATGGAGTAGGACAGAAATTGTAAGCCCAAAATACTTCCTCCGTTTTGAATTTAGTTTCATTTGCACACCTGAAAAATAATACAATGTAAGTATTAACTCATTGTTTTAGGGCATAGTTGCAGAAATTCAGTGGTCAAATTGGATATTTTGGAAGTTCATTAAGAAAAAGGGTCCATGATACATTTTTGGGGGTGGAGGAAGATTAAGAAATAAACATAAAGCAAAATACTAGAGCTTTCCAGACTTGAACATAACTCAAGAGCGACAGCACATAACAGACTGCTCTGTGCTTCGTAGCCTTGGCAGAGGAAGTTGGGCATCATCGCCAGTTGGCCCGTGGCAGCTGTGGTAAGAAAGGCCCCTGAGGCTCAGGTGCTGTCCTGCTAGAAACTTGGGGTTGCAGCCACGACAGGATCCAAACTCCAGGCCCAGGATTTTCACTCGTTTTATGGAGATAATACTGGCTATTTTAAGGATAAGAGGGATGAATGATTAGACGGGATCAGCAGGCAAGGAAAGACAATGGGGTTGTCGCTGAATAGACTGATTATGTTTGATTCTGGGGGTACTGAAGGGGCAGAAGTGGATCCTCATTTTCCATGCAGGAGACTTGGGGGTTCTGTTCCTGACCAATGAATTTCATGCACAACCACCACTCATATCAGTGTGTTGCTGTGAGGTTAAACAGGTTTTAGTGGAACACTGAGTCTAAGACATACTAGGAAGAAAGGCCTGGAGGTCTATTTCCCAAATCCGCCAATGAAATACTAGGGATCGCAAGAGTGCATCACCCTCAGCTATGGGGCTGGTGTAGGGTCAAGCAATGCTTTGTTCCATTGTGCGTGGAATCACCATGAGTCAGGACTGACTCTAGGATGGTACCAACAAAAGCGTGGCAAAGACTTTCTGCAGCATGGCAATGCACAGCAAGTGCTCAGCACTGCCTGCATGTTCTGAGTGTACAGTTACTATTACTGTCCTACTGCCCGCCCCTCATGGGATTTCTATTTTAATCAATGCCAGCTTTCTCCAAGGTGAAATAGCTTCTAATCTAGGAGTTATCTTCAGTGTTTTCTAATCTATCTCTCCAGAGCTATTCCACTCTTAAGTCCCAAGAACACCCGATTGGTTAAGACTCAGGAAGGACTGGCTACGTTAGATTTAACCTAGATTTAGGTTTAGACAACTAGGTTTCCCTTTAGGATGTACGTGAACCCAGGAATTTATTCCTCAGTGCTTGTGTCCTCATCTGTAAAATGAGTGACAAATTGAGAAGCACACAGGAAAAAATGTATGCAAATAACTTAACTGTGCATGGGCAAGAAAACATGTTTCCTAGATCTAATTTCTTGAATGGGACTCTTCTTCGCTATCCCTGGTAATTCAGACTCTGAGTGCAGCTTGCCTTATCAGCTGTATTGCAGACAGATTCTAGACTGACCCAGAAGGTTCATATGTGAACCCTTGCATAGGCCTCTCCCAGTGAGAGAGGGGATGACCTAGCAGTTGTTTCTAAACAACAGAATTTGGCAAAGGGACAGGATGTATGTGGTTATGTAACTAATAATATACAGTAGTGTTGTTTTTCTGAAGTCTCTCATTCCCTTGCTGGCTTTAAAGATGCAAGCTGCCATGTTGTGGGCAACATCTGGTGGGAGGCCATTGTGGTAAGAACTGCTAAAAACTTAGGGCAACCCCTGATCATCAGTCAGAAGGAACTAAATCCCTCGGCCCCAAACCTCATGGTACCCAACTCTGCTCCTCAGATAAATTTGTGTCCAGTTGAGCCTCAGATGGGAGGGCAGCCCCAGCCAATGTTTTGACTGGAAGCTTTTTGGTTGCGAAGTGGTATCTGGTCTCCTGGTCAACAGAAATTTAGATATAATAAATTATAAACTGATTTATCACAAATTGCTGCTTTAAGCTGCTAAATTTGTGGTGATATTATTAGCAACATAAAACTAATACAGTCTTCTAATTTCTTTCCGGTTCTTAGTATTCCTTTCTTCAAACTCCCATCCCAGCAAGTACTGCTGACCAACTCGCTGTGTGGAAGCCTCCACCTCCTCCTTGTAACAGCTCACCAGTGAGGCGACTGTTCGTGTACGCCACCCTTTTCTCCAGCTCAGCCAGACTGCTTACCTTTTCTTTGTAAACAATATTGTGTTTTGGGGGGAATTTGCACAGCAAGTTAGGGTCCCATTCCATGATTAACACAAATTCTTCAGAGATACTCATTTTCTTTTCCCCAAATGGGTTAATGTTCTCATTGTTTTCAGGAGGGTTCATTTTCAGTAATCCAGTTTCTCCCTATCCTTCCATCTTTGTATTAGCAAAATTGTTGACACTTTAGTCTCGTATAGATGCGTTTTTTTAAAAAGTGCACAGTACTTACCAGTAATATTCTCTATTTAATGAGACAATGTGTTTTAGGAAGAGTTGACCTTTATGAATAGTTTTGTTTCGAGTTATGGAGTATGTCAGGGCAACAGTCTTGGGGAGTCCTGAAGTATCACATCCAGCAAATCTAGACTTTTTACCGATGTCATTTCTGTCCCACATTTCCCCATCTTTCTGTCAGAATCCAGCTGGTATCATTCCTCTCGATGGTTGATAGTCTTAACTGGGCAACATCTTATGGTCTCAGGATCAGTGAAGCCAGACTTTTCGTCTGGAGACTAATTTATTTTGAGGCTTTGGTGACCTGCGTTTTCTCTTGTGCAGGACAAGAAGAGAGTGCGCACTATCTTAGATGGCTACCCGTAAGTTTAGTGGCTCGCTCCATATACACCACTTACCAAATTGGGTGTAGAACTTTGTGAACTACATATATGCCAATTAACTGAGTTGTCCATGAAACTATGCTCTTAAAGCTTTAAACTTGAAAACCAGTATGTTTGATGATTGGTTATGTCTAAGAAATATCTGTACTGTGCCCTTATGTGCATTATTACATGAGGGGGCTTCAAAATTTTGTGGAAAAATTTCATTATCTTTTAATTCATTTTTTTCCACATTTTGAAACACCAAGACAAAGGCAGGCATCTATTTCAAGTCATGTAATACAATGCAGTGTCTCAAGCAACAAGAGCAGATGACTGAACACTATCTCAAGGTTATGGAAACCAATGGACATTTGGTTCGAATCTCATGCCTTGAGGGTGCCTAAAAAATGTCAACTGAAAACCAGATCGAATACAGCATGCATCAGAGAGGGGGTCAAATGACAAGGTTTTAACTGTTCAGGTCAGTTTATCCCACTCTGGTGGGTTCAGTAGTGGTGGGGGGGTCGGGGGGATGGTATAAAGGGAGATGATGTCAAGGAATTCAGGAAGGAAACAAATGTTTGGAAACCGATTGTGGTAGCAATTGTAAGGTTTTAACTGTTCAGTTCAGTTAGTTTATCCCACTCTGGTGGGTTCAGTAGTGGGGTTGGGGGAGGGATGGTATAAAGGGAGATGATGTCAAGGAATCCAGGAAGGAAACAAATGTTTGGAAACTGAGTGTGGTAGCAGTTGTACAATGCTGCTTGATGTGATTGAACTATGGAATGATATATGTATTCCCAATTTAAAAGGGGCAACTGAAGACAACCATATATTTGCTGTTTTCTGACTCATCTCAGCCCAGCAGACATAGTTGTGCGTTGGTGAATGAGTGTTCCTGCAAGTTTGCCCTATCTCCAACTTCATTGTTTGCATAAATAATGTCCATTTATTTAAAAATTTTAACCTATACAACAGTCCATGTATTTTGGGCTAAAAAGTTGTCCAAAACATCTATACTTTCCTTTTCTAAACAGGATTTAAAATTCGATATCATTTGCTATATTAATAATACTATTAATAGACTTACCCCATGCCTTATGGGGATAACTTATAATATTTCCTAATAAAATATAAATGGTGTCTCAAAAGTGAACCAGGGTCATATATAAACCATTTCAATACTTGCCCTCACTGAAGATCTGGTGCTATATAGCAAAATGTGGTGACGAAATCAAATGATGCCTGGCTATCACAAAGAATAGTTTCTGGGGACTTACAGGCTTATCTTAAAACAGACAGCCATCTACGTGAGGCGATAACCTAGTCCACATAGCAGAAGCACACCAGCCTGTGGGATCCAAGGATTGCAACTAATAAAACCGAAGAAAGGAGGAAGGAACACTATTAGGGCTTAAATTCTGAGCACCCAGTTTGCAGAAGAGTATGGCTAACAGTGAAAGCCCAAAATCCATTTGCAGGGACCCCACTTGGTGGAAGCCTTTGGTTAACCTCCGACCCTTGAGCAGGATGTGAATAGTCTTGCTTAAATCAGAGAGAGTGCACTGGAACGTGGATTAATGTGCAGATGTGGTTACATTAAGCTGTGATGCCTTAGCATTTGTTCTATTGATTCACTTAAGATTGGTCTAGTTTTTAATATTTTCTGCCTACTTTTTGATTGAGGTTTATTTTCTCTATATGAAATCCAGGATAGATAAATCTATAGACAGCAACTGACTAATAGTTTCTTAGAGTTATGGCAGAGAAGTTGGGGGGTAATGGGGAGCTAATAATGAGTACGAGAAAAAAAGAACATTTTAAAAAACTGATGCTGGTGGTGATTGCGCAACTCTTAAATATGATTAACCCTTTTAATTTTAAGATGTGGATTATATGTCAATAAAACCTTTTAAAAAGAGATATATTTTTAATATCCCCTTTTCACGTCAACTTCTAATTCAGCATAGTGCTCTACTCATCCATAGAGATAACCAGTTTAGAGGGATGATTTATGAAATCTGGGTATGTCCATTTGTGTCATTTTGAGTAGAAAGCATCATTAAAAGTTCTAGAAGAGTAATCACTCACTGTCCTTCACCCCAATGAAATAGCGCTTGAGTTGTTAAGATCTTAAAAGAATAACAGAACCAAAGGAAAGGGAGGACGAGAGGAGGGAGACAGTGAGTCAGGACAGCCGCTGGACAGAGGAGTATTTACAGATCATCAGTGACTAAAAACACACTGAAAAGTCTCTGAAAATTTTCATTATCAGAGTTTCTGGCATGGTCTCTTGCTGTAGC